GGTGTCTCAACAGGATTCGAACCTGGGTCTCCATGAGGAAGATGAGAATCCCATCCCTGGCGCCCTCCAGCTTTAGCAGTGGCCAGCACCCAGGCGGGCATCGCCGCCACCATCCCTCAGCATCTGTCCTCCGCAGACAAGGAAGCGACCGCTCAGGGTTTAAGGTTAGGGTTAGGGCCCACGCCGGCCCTGGAAGGGAGCCCTGGTGGTGCAGTGGGAGAGTACTCAGCTTCATTATAACCGGAAAGGTCGGCGGTTCTAATCAACCCTCCACTTGGGGAGGAAGATGCGGCAGACTGCTTTGTAAAGATGACAGCCCTGGACATGGGATGGGGTGTGTACCCCAGGGTAGCTGAATGGGAGTGGCCTGGAAGGGCGTGGGCCTCACATGGCCTCCTCACAGGAGAAAGCCTGGGGTCTGAACAGCAAGCGAGCATGGAATTGGGGGTACAATACAACCCAGAACTGGCCACCAGCTGCCTCTCTAGCCAGGGTGCCCCAAGGCTCTGGGGCAGGTCTGGGGGTTGTTCCCCCTTGGCCCATCTGTCTGATAAGTGTCTTTGCCTGGATTTGGGGCCCTGCAAGGTCCCCACCCAAATCCAGCCTCGTGGCCTCACAGCCTTCCCCACCTAGACGCTTCTCTCCGACTCTAACATGCCCCCTTTTTTGAGCCCCCTATAGGTCTGACCTCTCTTCTGGGGTATAGGGTACCCCAAGTGGGCAAGTAGTTAGACCAGTGCCCAGAGCCTCATGGTCGGGGGGGTGTCACCTCCTGGGTGTCATCACTGTCTCCTGGGGTCATGAGGGTGGCTGCTTACAGGACAATCCGGGGACCACCTGATTGGTGGAGGCTAAGTATGCAGGGCCTTGGGGTCCCCCCACCCCTTGACTGGCTGGTGCCCTGCTGAGTGACCACGGTGCGTCCCCAGCCCTGTGCACATGGGCATGAGGTCCTATGATGTGCTGTTGAGGTGACGCCTGCTCCGTCCTGAGCCTCTCCCGCCGTCCCCGGCACACCGATCCCACCACCACGGTTGTTATTTGGGAGGTTCGACGATTGAAATACCAGCTTGGAATCCAGCAGCTGTGAGTGACTAGAGTGACGATGTTTTTATTCTTGTGTCGTAAGCTGCTTCCACACCTGCTCTCTGAGGCATGCTCCGGAGATCTGGATGTTTCTCCGTTCATCACGCCACAGCCAGCCTCTGTCAAAAGACCCCCAAACCCAGAGCGGTTCTGGTCCCTCTGCCCCCAGCTGCTCCAGATGTGCCCAAGCAGAACCAAACGACAGGATTTTCTCACAGGCAGCTGGCTGGGCACCATTGGGCAGGTTTGAACTGCCAGCCTTTGAGTTCCCAGCCCAGTGCCTGACCATGCGTGCCAGCCCGTGGGAAGCCCCTGGGGAGGGCGGTTCCTGGGGCTCTAATGTGGAGGCTGTTGAAGGGCCTGGAGTGGGGGGTGTGGGGTGTGAGGAATCTGGGGAGGAATTGGCACTTGGAGCTGAGGCTGTGCACCGTGGGTTCTGGTTTCTACACGTTGGGCCCAGGCGAGCTTCTGAGGGACACGTGCCAAGGGGCTGGCGGGCACGTGGGCAATGAGTTAGCCTGGCTGCTCTTCGAGGCGCCCCCAGGCCCACCCTCACCGCCACACTCTTTTCCTGTGTCTTAAAAATTATAAAAAGTGAATCTTTGTAGTTAAAGACAATGTGCAACAAAACGTCCACCAGTGCACTCATGCAGTGTGGTGACATCGCCGACGCCTCTCGGGTGTGGTAGCACCCCCTTTCTGAGGCTGGAACGAGCTGGTCAGCGTGGTGTCATGATGTGAGTGCCAATTCCTGGGAGCAGATGGCTTCGCGGAGTCTCACCTGCCTCTGACCTAGAGAGGCCAGTGGAGACTACAGGGACAGGCCCTGCACCCCCCGCATGCCCACGGAGGCTGCCTGGCCGCAGCAGGGCCCCCACAGCGCCGGGTGCCTAGCTGCCAGGCTGGTCCTGGGGCTCCTCGGCCATGCGCTGTCGCTGGCCAGATACTGCTCCAGCCACCCAGGGCCGGGCCTTCTCTCAACGCTGCAGCAACGTGCTGGTGGCTCGGGGGGCCATCTGGGGGCAGGTGAGCAGAGCAGGGGCTCCCAGCCCCTCACCCTGCTCCGGCTCCTCTCCCTAGGATTCTGCATATCCCCCGTGATTTCTGGGGACATCTGTGGGTGTCACAGCTGGGGAGGAGTGTTACTGGCATGGAGGGGGTGGAGGCGGGGACACAGCTCAGCCCCTGGAGTGTGCAGCCGGCTGTCTGGGAAGTTCAAGTTCACTGTCTGGGACGGAGCAGCGAGCTGAACGGCTTCCTGCTCATGGCCTTGTTAGCTGCCGTCAGGCCCCTGCAGTGGGAGGAAGTGTGCGCAGCCCAGGCCTGTGCCGTCCTCATGACCGTGTTACCGCGCTGCCCTGGGGTCCGTAGTGTTGTTCTGAGGCGCACAGGGTGGGCTCCAGCCTGTAGGCTCTCCTTGTGAAGTGAGGCAAGTGAACTGTTTGTACCGCCCCAGGGCTCCCGGAAGGCAGCATCGGTCAGGGTTCTCGAGAGGACACCCAGTCCGAGAGTCAGGGTCCCTGTGAGATGCAGGGGCTCTGGGAGGAGATGCAGGCACTCTGGGGGTGCTCTAAGGGATGCAGCTGCTGACCGCCAGGGCATCCTACGAGCTTCTTGTGCAGCAATGACAGCTGACCTTGCCACTGGAATTGACTTGGTGACGTCGGTGTGGTTTTGGTCCATGTTCGGGGGCCCCCTCTTCACAAAGTTCTCCAGAAACCCTCTAACCCCAGGCAAGCTTTTCTCTCCCTCTGACAACTTGATGTCCACTACTTTGCACCCCTCTCATGTACAGCTGTTTGGTCAGACACAGGCCTAGATGTTTCTGTGAAGGTTTGACAGACACATGACTAACACGGAAGTTGTTGTTGTTGTTATGTACAGTCGAGTCATTTGCGACTCACAGTGACCCTTTGTACAGCATCCCTAAACCGTGCTCTATCCTGTGCCAATCGCACCGTCTCCGGAACACCCATCCCGATTACCCCGGTCACTGAATCAATCCACCTCATAGGGGGCCTTCCCCTTCTGCGCTGTCCATCCCACCAAGCATGATGTCCCTCTCCAAGGACCTGTCCCTCCTCACAACATGTCCAGAGTATGTTAGATGGAGCCTTAGAATCCTT